ATGGGAAAGTGCAGGGCGTAACAGAGTACAGACCTCTTACTGGTACTCTGTTCTGTTTAGACCACCTTTTAAAACACCTGGGCTGGGGCTGGGGCAGTTTAGGATGCTCACAGCGCCTATCTGGGTGCCTAGGTTTCAGATCTGGCTCTGTGCTCCATTCCAGCTTCCTGCTAATGCACACCCCAGGAGGCAGCAGGTGATGGCCCTAGTACTTGAGTTCCTGCCACCAGGAACTGGTGGGAGACCCATATGGACTTCCAGTCTCCCGGCTTCAACCTGGCCAGCTCCAGCTGTTCTGGGGGAGTGAGCTAGCAGATGGACTATGTCTATCTCTGTCTCTTTATGTCTCTCTGCCTTCCAAATAAAATAATATTTATGAAAGTATGTCTTCTGCTTCTCTTATAACTATTTCTTTTTATTTATTTGAAAGGCAGAGTGACAGAAAGAGAGAGGCTCCGTCACACACACAAAGAGGGAGAGAGGGAATGAGGAAGGAAGAGAGAAAAAGAAATCTTCCATTCCTTTGTCCAATCTCCAAATTCCTGCAACAGCCAGGCCTGGGCCAGGTCAAATCCAGGAGCCCTGAACTCCATCTGGATCTCCCACGTGGGTGGCAGGGATCCAAGGACTTGAGTCACCCTCTGCAGCTCCCAGGATGCAGTGGTAGGAAACCGGATGGGAAACAGAGGCGGGATTCCCAGGTGCTCTGATACGGAATGTGGGTGTCCCATGAGGTGGCCTAACCTCTGTGGCACAACACTGCCCCCCACAAAATAATATCTTTGAAGTGGCCGTCACTTGCTGGTATCATTAAAAACAAGTGGATAAAATGCCTAGGGAAGGGGGACAGTGCAGATTTTGAGACAAGGCTGCCACTGACGTCAGAAGCAGCGCAAGCCTGGAAGAGTGAAGGGAGAGACTCGGAGCAGCAGCAGCAGGCTGGAATGTGTGATTCCAGCGCGTCCGCTTCCTCCCCCAGCTGGAGGCCAGCAGCCTGCGGGTGGGCATCAGACCAGGCCCCTTCTTTCTCGTCTCCCAGGAGTGGTCGGCGTTCAGGATCCTTTGCTTTTCAAGTGAAGCAGGAGGCTGTGGTACAGTTGGAACTTCACCAGCGTTAGTGTCGGGCTCATTGGAGAGAACATCCCAATTTTTCTATCACTGGCAGAGAAAGCGGAGGACAACCTTCAGGGCCACCCCTAACCCCATGGCCTCCTGTGCAAGGGAGCTAGATGCTCTCGGTCAGCTCCAGGATTGTGGGAGCCACCTGAGCACCCCTGAACTCAGCCCTGAAAGACACCTGCTAGTGGATCTCTCAAGATCTCCAGTACGCTGGCAATTCCAAAAGGTGCAATAGACAGGGAGAGGAGATGAGAGAAAGAGAGAGAGAGAGACAGAGAGAGAGAGAGACAGAGAGAGAGAGAGAGACAGAGAGAGAGAGGGAGACAGAGAGAGAGAGGGAGAGCAGCCATTCAAATGGACTTTTCTTTTTCCTTCTTATTCTTTTTTCAAATTATCATTGTAGAACATTTCAGCCAATTGAAAAAGCTAGAGGATGAGAGACAGCCACTGGACATTTTGGTGACCATCCTCTGTGCCTTTAAACCACGGGTCAAAGAAATGAGTTCTATGCTATCTGCTGTATTGAAAACTGCGTTATCTTTTACTCAAATGACTCATCATGGCCAGCTACCCATGTCAAGGGATATAGACATACAGTCTTTAACAGCTGCTGCATATCCCATTGTATGAATATCTCACTTTTTTTTTCAGCCAATCTCTTACCACTGAATATTTAGGTACTTTCCAATTATTTGCTGTCCATGATAAATACTTTGTTAAACATCTTCTGTATGTATATCTTCCCAAATTTGTCCAGCTATCTGTTGGATAAATTCCTGGGGTGGGATTGCAGGGTGGAAGAACATAGCTCTCCAGAAAAATGGTAACAATTTACATTCCCACCTCAAGTTCTGGGAAAATCCCCAAATCCAACTGTTTCATTTCAAATTTCTAAAATTTTAATTAATTTATTTTCCTTTTATTTGAGCAGCAGAGACAGAGACAAACAAAGGCAGGTTTTCCATCAGCTAATGTACTCCCCCAATGCTCGCAGCAGCCAGAGTTGAGCAGACTGAAGCCAGAAGACGGGAACTCCACCTCGGTCTCCCATGTGCGTAGCCTAAGTACTTGAGCCAGCACCTGCTGCTTCCTTGAATGCACATTAGCAGGAAGCTGGATCCCAAGCAAAGTAGTTAGCACTGGCACCAGGCACTCGATATGGAATGGGGGTGCACCAAGTGGTGGTGCTTTAATCTCTGAGCCAGTCACCTGCTCCGTCACTTCCAGTTCTTGATGATGGAACTCAGACAGAAACTCAACACTGTAATTTTGCCAAACGTCTACATAGTTTGCTTTCCCACAGTTTAAGATAACTCCTGTAAATATTTTCATTTCTCTTAATCCTACACATCCCTTTCCCCTCCTACATGCTCAGCAGATGTTCTGGTTCATGTATATACCTGAAAGCTACACAGGGCAACGCCCTTATCTGTCTGCCCCCAAATCAATACGCACCACTCAGATGCATTGGAACCCATTTCCTCTGCCTTCTTCCTTTACCATGGCTGAGTCCACATGGCTAACAAGAGTCAATAAGTGGTTTGAACCAACTATTCCGTGATTTCACTCTTTCTTAGTAATGCTCACATATCATCAATATTAAAACTTGACAGATAGCTCAGAAAGAAAAATACAGATATATGTCTCATCATTCATCCTCTCTCTGTCTCTCTGTCTGTCTCTCTCTCTCTCCATATATATAACCTAATATGTGCCAGGCCCTGAAGGAAGAGAATGGCAGATGAGATGAGATGGATCAGGTCTCTCTCCATGAAGAACAGAGTGTCTAGTGTCAGAAATAGATAGAAACTAACCAAGAAACAAGCAGAGTGTGATGAATACCAGTTGAAAAGAGTGACTGTGTAGAGAGCAATGGGTGGGGCCTGGGGATGGTGCTCTGAGAGGCGATACTGAACAAAGGCAGCCATGCCAAGGCTAGGGGAGAATTTTCGAGGCAAGAAAGCCCGTCAAGCCCAGAATCTCTGGGGTAAGAAAGCTCACTGATGTTTGAGAGGCAGCAAGGTTACCAGGTGGTCTGAAGAACTGTACGTGACGAAGAGGAGTCAGGGCCCTGTCGGGGTGGGAAATAGTAAGGGGGTTGGTTGGGCTTCCTTGCAATTGCATTGGAAGCACATTAAAGAGTTTCAAGTCATATGCTTGGAATTTCATTTTTTAAAAGGATTTATTTATTTGCAAGCCAGAGTTACACAGCAAGAGAAAGAGAGGCAGAGAGAGAGAGAGAGAGAGAGAGAGAGAGAAGTCTTCCATGCGCTGGTTCACTTCCCAGTTGGCTGCATCAGTTGGAGCTGTGTCAATCTGAAGGCAGGAGCCAGGAGCTTCTTCTGGGTGTGCCCTGTGGGTTCAGTGGCCCAAGGACTCGAGCCATCTTCTACTGCTTTCCCAGGCCACAGCAGAGAGCTGGATCGGAAGTGGAGCAGCCAGGTCTCAAATTGGCACCCATATGGGATGCCAGTGCTGCAGGTGGTGGCCTTACCAGCTACACCACAATGCTAGCCCCAGAATTTCATTTTAAAAAGATCTCTTGAGCCAATTTGTGGAAATTGAATTTTATGGAAATATAAATAACTAGTTGGAAAATAATTCCATTTTTTAATATGAAATCATATAAAACCCCCCAACAATACAATAATGTGCTTCTTAAAAAAAACCCTCACCCCAAAGGTACATACTGTGGAGTGCAAAATTCCCATACTCAGAACAGAGGTGGATTACTTGTCAAGATCCCTGGGTGGGCATTGCGGCGCGATGGTTTAGATGTGGCTTGGGATGCCTGCATCCTCATTGAGAATATAGGATTTGAGTCTTGGCTACTCTGCTTCTGATCCAGCTTCCTGTTAATGCACCCTGGGAGGCAGCAGACGAGCAAGTATTTTGGGACCTGTCATCCACATAGGAGAATCCAATGGCGTTCTAGGCTCTTGGCTTCAGCTTGATCCAGTCCTGGCTGTTGCATGCATGTTGGGAGTAAACCAGGGAATGGAAGATCTTCCATCCCCTTCCTCCTCTCCCTTCCTTTCTCTCCCCCTCTCTCTCTCTTCCACTTGCACAATGCCTTTCAAATATATGAACATAAAAAATAAATTTAAAAAACCTGGGTGTTGTAATTGCATGTAAAGCACCCCCCAGACATTTGTCCTTTCTTACATAGTTGGCTTCATTAAAATTTTTTTTTCATAAAGAAAAGAAAAGCCAGATTTGTGCTTCTGAAAAAAATGTTGGCATAGATTCTAAACAAACACACTAAAGCCATACTCTTTAATCTTCTTAGATTCATAAATGAGCAATTTCCTTACTTCAGTACAATTAGGAATGGCTTATTTTCTCAATTCGAAGTGAGTTTTTGAAACACATCACATGATGCAGAAGACGAGTGGAAAGTAGCAACTGCTGCTGCTCTTACAGGCCATGAGTCATTGCCATCCTGCCTCCCCTCCAAAATTCGCTGCTAATAATGCGTGAAATCTAAGACCACCGTCCTGAATTAACAGATAATTCAACCAGCATTTCAAAATAAACTGCCCAACCCAGTGCTGTCCAGGGTGGTTCGCATTGCTCATGCAGTGATAAGGTAGGGAATGGCTTGTGTATTTAAAACTGGCCACACAGAACCTTCAGTTATCTGTGTGACTCCACCTTTAGCGCAATAACAACATGGGGTGACGAGGGGAGTTTTCTGGAGTAGCTTTCAGCTGGCACACACTTCGACTAAGTATGCGTGAATAGGATGTATCTACACAGGTCTGAATCATGCGCTTGCCAACAGTCATTTCTCTTAAGCAGCCACAGGGGAGAGGACTTTCCCATGTACTTCCTTCCCTAAGTCTACAGCTTTCTCTGGTTTCTCTTTCTGCCCCCTGCAGACTTCCTGGGGTCCACTGTGTGCGCATCTTGAATCCAGAATTCCCAGCCTCTTGGGCATTAAGGCCACGGTTGGTGCTGTTGTTACTCTGAGGTAGGTATGCTCTCCTATCTCACTGTGTTCAGGATCACTAAGGAAAGGTTTCAAGCCCAAAAGAACTCTCTCCAGAGGCTGGGAACGTTCTTTCCACTCTAGCAGCCTCCCGGGCCTGTCAAGAGTTTTGCAGAACATTGCAGCCAACGGGGCTGATTTCCCAAGTGAGGTAAAACAGACCTTCAGCAAATGGTGTTTGCAGAGAGCTCAAGGGAGCTGACGTGCAGGGTGGCACGACTGTTGCCGAGATTCCAAGGTCGGCTATCACAGGCCTTGCGGGCATTGCTGGTGGCCTTCCTTTCCCAACCTCCAGCCCTTCTCAGCACCAGAGGGCCCCCTCTCAGATCAGAAAATAAAAAACCATACACTCTCCTGCACCCCACCTTTTCCCCAAAGCTGTTCTTCTCTGCTCCAGGCCAAGGCTCCTAGAAGCTCTGGGGTCCCCGCCAGGCAGATGGGGACACACACTCCCCAACAGGTTCACAAGTCCTCTTTCTTTTCCAAACACCAGTTTCCAATCGCATCTCTCCATCCCCTTCTTGTCTTTGGAAGCCAGCTTTGCCATGTTCATTAACATTTCTGAGATGCCTTATTTTCAAAACACACACACACACACACACACACACACACACCCCAAATCAAACTCAACACCCCCCCCCCCATGGTTCCTTTTCCTTTAAGCCTGCATTCTGCATTCCATCCAGCTGGCTAGCAGGGGAAAGGTCAGCGCTGAGCTTCTCCCTCTGGGACCTGAGATTTTATCCAGGCCTCCCGCCCCCACACCATTGCAGGAATGCAGCTCCCCTGTCCTCACTGGCGGTAGCAAACATGTTTTATCTGCTTAGCCCCCCAAGCATCGATTTAACTCCTGGTTTGTGAAGTTCTAAAGTTCTATTTGTTATGTGTATCCCAATTAGCTAGCACTGAATTCCCAATTCAACCCTAGCCCTCTCCCTGCCCCAAGCAACCTCTATCGGTTAGTGAACCTGGGAGAAAGGAAAGTCAAGGACTTGCTATTACCCTGGGCAGCTGTGTGCAGACAACCGCTCAGATTTCTCAGGGATCTTTGGTGAGAGAATCCACACTCTTCAGGAGAAGGCATCTCCAAAAATATAGCTATTTTAGCTCTTCTTTCTGTAGTCTGTTATTAAGGTGATCAGCTTTTCAGTTAGGGTGATCTCTTCCTGAAGCAATGATACAGACTCTCTGATCGCCAACCTAACCGGGGCTTCCTTGGGGGATGGGAGTTAGGGCTGCGAACTTCTGTCCTAACCCCATGGAACATTCTTATCCCATTAGGATGAAATTCACAGGGTTCAACAAGTTAATTCTTCCATAAACATTGACTGTACACCAGGTGCTGGGGAAGGGAAGGCAGGAGGAGGGAGGAGAGGCTGGGCTGTCCAGATGACCAAGTACTCCAGGGTCTAGTTGAGCAGATAGGAAACCAAAAATAACATACGACCTCATGAAGTCAATTGGATGATAGTATAGGCAGTCGGGGGAGGTTGGAGAAGAAGACAATGGGCTCGCAGTGGGGAGGGAGGGGAGGGTACAGGGAAGAGAGTTTGCACAGCAGAGAAAGGGCGGGGCACTGGGGGACAGGGGCTGTGTTTGAGATCACTTAGAAAGGGGATTTGGAATAACTCAGGGGGAGTGAGATAGGCCCAGATGCTTCACACCAGATCCTACCATCTGGGGGCCTCCTGGCTTCAGGTCACTTGGATGAACTTCTTTGTTCAGTAGGATTTTCAGAGAAGATGTGAAAACTTTGGGATTACAGGAGGGAATCACAGATTGGTAGGTAGCTTTGGGATCTGCAAGGAGAGAAGGCCTACACTTCCCGGGCACGGAGAGTCCCTACCCGCACTTGCAGGGAAGAAAAGTCCTTGCCAAGGTCCCCATGGGTGCCTAAAGGTCAACCAATGAGGCTCAGACCTGCCTCAACCTTTAACCCCCACGCCCTATATCTATAAAAGGAGCCCTCCCAACCTCTGACAGGTGACTTCCCCGCCCCCGCTCTGTTGGGACCGGGGAACCTCGCCCGGGAGTGGAATCCCAATAAAAGCTTGTGAATTAATTGATTCGTCTGCCTGGGAAGATTTGTTATGCACAGATATCATCTTCATCGTCGTCATCGTTGTCATCATCACAGCTGTTCATTCATTTAGTCAAATTGCAAGTGATTTAGGACACAACGGAGCACTTTATCACAGAGGGAACTTTTTTAAAAAATATTTATTTATTTATTTGAAAGGCAGAGAGAGAGAGAGAGAAAATCTTCCATCTGCTGGTTCACTCCCCAGATGACCCCAAAGGCCAGAGCTGCACCGATCCGAAGCCAGGAGCCAGGAGCTTCTTCCAGGTCTCCCTTGTGGGTTCAGGGGCCCAAGGACTTGGGCCATCTTCTACTGCTTTCCCAGGCCATAGCAGAGAGCTGGGTTGGAAGTGGAGCAGCTGGGACTCGAACCGGTAGCCATATGGGATGCCAGCACTGCAGGCAGCAGCTTTACCTACTATGTCACAGCGCCGGCCCCGTGGAGGGAAATTTAAGAGCATCTCATCCAGCCTACTTTACAAATGAAGAAACTGAGGCCAAGAGAGAAGTTCCTTATTCATCTCAAACCCACAGCCAGTTAAGGGGAAGGCAGGGTGTACACAGATCTCTTGGTTCTTACGCAGAGCCCTTGACCCTAAAATGTGGCCATCTACACGCCTCACCACTAAGCTTTCCTATTTTAGAAATAAAAGCAGTGGTTGGATTTGAAGGGGTTTACTTGAAATCCCCCAGGGAGCAGGGGCCCAGATGGGTCTCAAACCCAGGGCCGTGAGGACCCAGTAGCCAACGCTTTCCAGTCAACACTCTTATTAAAATGAAACCCATTCACGAGGGAGGAAGCATGAGTCAGAAGCGTGAGGGCCGTGACTAAAGCCCCCAAACCCGCAGACCTGCAGTCATGACCTGGGTAAGAGACAGGGGCCCCTAGGGAGGCCGCCACCAGCCTCACCTCACCCACGCTCAGTGGCCAGGAGCTCTCTTTCTTCGCTAAGGGCTTAGCTGCAATGTGGTTTAAATTAGACAGCTCTTGCCTGAGTATAACAAATTACTTAGGTTATACGCTGACAAAAAAGGAACAGTCTGCATGCTTGGAAAGCTTAGTGGGGGGATTAAATTATGCGCTGTCACCTCAGAGCCATTCCTCTGTCCTCTACGTCACCACCTCTGCATGGCCTGCGGAGGCAGCCGGGGAGCCTTGCGTGCAAGCTGGGCCATAACCTAAGGCTTAACATAAACGTGGGCTCTCAGGTCATTGGGAAATAACAGGTATATCCGGTTGGGCCTTTTGTGCTTGTCTGCAGGCAAATTAAAAGCGCGTGCGAAGCTGAGCTCTGGTGCCTCTGGTTCAGGAGGAGAGAGGCTGCCTGGGAAAGGAATGCTCACACAATCGCCTCTTGTATTTTTTCAGGTAGTCGGTGGTACAGCCTGTGTATGGGAAGCTTGCACCTCTGAGAGGCTGAGATCAGAAGCGGGGGGATGTGCAAGTGGCCTGGTGTCAGATCGCCCACCGGGGAGCAGGGTTCCGAAGTTACAGACAGTGAGAGAGAGAGAGACAGAGAGAAAGGTCTTCCTTCCATTGGTTCACCCTCCAATGGCTGCCACGGCCGGCGCTGTGCCAATCCGAAGCCAGGAGCCAGGAGCTTCCTCCCGGTCTCCCATGTGGGTGCAGGGGCCCAAGCACTTGGGCATCCTCCACTGCCTTCCCAGGCCACAGCAGAGAGCTGGACTGGAAGAGGAGCAATCGGGACTAGAACCCAGCGTCCATAGGGGATGCCAGTGCCGCAGGCAGAGGATTAACCAAGTAAGCCATGGCGCTGGCCCCAGAGGGGTAGTTCTTACAGGAAAGAGGTGGTGGAGGTGGGCGTTCCAGACCCCAAGCCTCCGAGCTGGTGGCAGCAGTGCCCAGCTAGCTTCAGTCATTCCCCCTTGCACAGGCAGAGCTGGGTGGTGAGAGGTGCAGGAGGCAGACCCGTAAGCTTAGGGGCCATGCAAAGGCTCTCACCTTGATTCCCTATCTCTCTGCCTGGTGATACCCTCACTGCCATTCTGATTCAAACCTGCTAGAAGGCTAATTGGAATAGGAATGGCATGGCGTGTCGGGTCTGACCCCAAGTTTCCCTCAACAGGAAGCAGTGCCGTTCCCTTTGCTGTGACTCCAGCCTCCTTTGGTACATAGGAGAAATCTGTGTCTTCTGTCCCTGAACTGTGCAATTTCCTCCCTCGGGAATTTGTCCATCTGTTGTGGCTGGGCCACATAGTGAATATTTGGAAACTGCAAGATCTGAATTCAAATTTCAGCTCAATTCCTGGGGAGCTGTGTAACCTTGGTGGTTAACTCCTCTCTTCCTGTTTTGTTTATTTGTCTATAAAAAGGGGATTAGGATAATAGTTATCTCAAAGGACTGGTTGTGAAGGATTAATGAAATGATTTATCTCAGGGTTTGGCACATGGCCTGGTCCTGAGAGCTGGTTACACATTAGTTCTTACATTACAAGGAGCGTATTATTATTGTTACCATTGGTATTATTGGCGGTACTCCTGCAATTTCGGCTGTGACTCCTGGCCCCACATCTGAACAGGATCCCACTCTCCTCTTTCCCCCACCTGACCTCTGGGCAGTGAAGATTTGGGTACCACTCTGTCTCTTCTTCCTAACCCTTCTCGGGGTTAAGGTGCATCAGCCTGAGGGAAAGATAACATATTTCTGTCCAGACACCTTGTGGCGGCAACTCTGCAAGAGCCCAGGAGGCCGCAGTGGTATTTAAATGTGCCTGCACTTGTCTTGGGAGCTTTTCTGTTAAGATCAGCGGTGGAGACATCACTCTCTCTGAAGTCCACTCCCACTCTCACTAGTTTCCAAGACCATAGCCCCTTTAGATACTTCTTGGATGGGGAAACACAGGAAAGAAATTGCTGTCAAGGTGGTTCTCCAAGTGTGGT